CCCCAACCCCCCCTGCCCACCCCACCCTTTCCTGTCTGTCTTTGCTACCCACCTGGCCCACGCTACCCGGACATCAGTCACTTCGACCATCGCAGAAAACTGCACTCCATGACAGACAATTTACTGTAATTCCCCACAGCCCACCTTCCTCCCTTCGGGCTTTTTATCCCTTTTTTGAATTTTTCACTAAATGAACTTGAAATGTCGTTTTTCCTCAAACATCAAACTTCCATGCACTCCCGAGATGACAAACAGTGCGAGCGAATATAGGAAGAGTTGGTTCCACATGTACATTTGGAACGAACACGATGTCGATATGAGATATATTTAAAGAAACAAAAAAGGCAAGGGGGTATCGCAAGGAGAGCGTACAGGCGAGATAGAGACACCGAACAGGGGTACGGAACTGTTTCCCCCGAGATAAAAAGAAAGGAGCAGGGACAGTAGCAATCCTTTATTCGCAATAATAATCATTACGGGGGATTACCGAGGCAGCAGCATCCTAAGATGACGGCAATCAGGATATATGGGGGAAAAACACGACAGAAAAGAACTAGGGGGGAGAGAGAGAAAGAGAGCAGAACGGATATTTGGAGGGAAAAAAGAAGAAGAGAACGTGGAGGTGAGAGAAAAAGAGAGCAGAAAAAGACATGACGAAGCGTCGGATAAAACACATAGTCAGGAGCGGAGGGACGGGGTCGTTTCCGCAAGGCTAGCACCTCCCTTCATGAATGGCCAGCGATTGAATGATACGGAAATGATATCTCAAAGAAATTTTAAAAAAACATGCAAGGAGGATAAAGTTGGACGCGAGTGCCGACTAGGATGAAAACAAGGATCAAGGATAGAGCATGAGGATGAAGTTGGACGACAACATGAGGATGATAAAGTTAAGAGGGTAAAGCTGAAGAGGATAAGGTTAGCAGGGACAGAGCAATCCAAGAGGAGACCCCAAGGAGAAGAAAGCAGGTCTCTGCGTCAGCGCTGACGTCTTCCGACGGACGATCATGATATCTGTATTCGGGGCAACTTTCAGTCTAGATATGCTTTACATTGACTGTATGCTGAATTTAAGGAAAGAGCGGTAGTAACCCACGAAGCGAAGGGCCTAGTGCTGAGAAAGCCTACTGTCCCCTGAACACAACGCACCTCTACTGTGAATGTATACAAGCTTTCCGGTCCCGCACAGTCAAAATGACGATGTTATATTCGAGGGAGGGAAGACTATATGAGCAGAGAAAACAAGGGTCAAACAGCGGTAAATCCATCAGCCGGGGGAAGCAATCAATCAATGCCACAGTCTCAGGAGCGGTAAATCCTTCTGCCACGAGAGGGGATCAATCATTGGCATAATCTCAGTGTACCTGGCCCATAAAGCAGGGAAGCGGGGAGCGCGTAATTGACGAAAGGGACCCCATACCCATAAAGTTCGTCATTTTGCAATTGAAAAAAAAAAAAAAAATGGCGCTCGCAAGATTGGAAGGATGGCATATGAAAAATACTTAATGCCAAATAGCAAATTGACAGGGCGGGAAAGACAGAAAGAGAGAGACAGACAGACAGACAGACGGACAGACAACGAACAGACAGACAGAGATGGGAGGAAGAAAGGATGGTGAGTTCAAAATTGAGAGGGTAAGAACGGAAAAGGAGCCTGAACCGCAGGGTTCTGTTTAAAATTTAAAATAAAGAAAAAAAAGAGGGTAAGAAAAATGGAGGAATGAGATGTGAAAGGCTTAGTCCAACGCAGAGACAAATTGTAAGAGAGAGAAAGAGAGAGAGAGAACTACCATAGGGAGCGAGAGAGAAACTGAAGAAATAGAGTTCCGAAGGGAAGAGAGAAATGCGAGGCAGAGATGCCAGGAAGAGAAAGGAGATGAAGCTACCGGTAGGTGATAGATGATCTCAGAGCTACCAGTGGGTTATACACAGACACGGAGAGAGATGCAGAGGTACGATGGTGGAGACGTGGGAGGGAAAAGCGGAGGGGGAGGGGGACAATTACTCAAATAATAACAGCTTCGCTAATTGTCGACCAAAAAAAAAAAAAAATCATAATTACGAAGGGCTGGCGTCAATGGTCCTTTGGTGATCTGACCTAACGGCGCGCGAGTCTTCCTGGAAGCGGGATTTTTTTGTCAAAACAGAGGGTGGATAATAGTCAGGACATTACACAAAAACGACGAGGACGCCAGGAGGTAGAGAGATGGGAGAGCGGGAGAGAGGGAGAACGGATCCACAAAAAAATACAAAGCAGAACGAGGAAATGGAGAGAACCAGAGAGCTACCGGTCGATGAAGTGGTGAGAGAAAGAAGTGAGAGAGAGAAAGAGGGAGTGAGAGAGAGAGAAAGAGGGAGTGAGAGAGAGAGAAAGAGGGAGTGAGAGAGAGAGAAAGAGGGAGTGAGAGAGAGNGGGAGTGAGAGAGAGAGAAAGAGGGAGTGAGAGAGAGAGAAAGAGGGAGTGAGAGAGAGAGAAAGAGGGAGTGAGAGAGAGAGAAAGAGGGAGTGCGAGAGAGAGAAAGAGGGAGTGCGAGAGAGAGAAAGAGGGAGTGCGAGAGAGAAAGAGGGAGTGCGAGAGAGAGGGAGTCAGAAAGAGAGGGAGAGAGAGAGATCGGGAATGAAGGGGAGAGGGAGTGAGAGAGAGAGAGAGACCCCGTGACAGAAAGGAGGTGCGGTAGTGGCGATGAAGAAGGGTGTGGGCCGAAGACAAAGAGGAGGGCAGAGAATGGTCACGCGGTAGCAGGAGACAAAAGGGTGAGGACGACAAAGAAAGAGTGAGCGGGGAGAGAGGGAGGTACAGATCATATATAGACGGACAGACAGAGCTTCGCTGCAGAAAGCGAAGGACAAGAAGCACGAAATAGAGAGCGGGAAGTACTGTGGAAAAATGAGAACTAGGCGGGAAATAACTAAAAAATCAGATACATAAAAGATTACCAGAGAAAGGAAGCCAAGAGGAGAAGTAAGAGCCAAAAAAAATAGTCCTTCGGGACATCCGTTAAAATTGGAACGATACAGAGAATGGTAGATTAGCAAATGGCCCCTGCGCAAGGATGACAAGCATAATCGAGGAATGGTCCAAATTAAAAAATAAAATAAAATAAAAAATAGACAGAAGCATGGTTAGACAGAGAACAAGACCAACAACGAAGACAAGAGAGCTAGAGAGAGAGAGCCAGCCACGCAGACAAACAGACAAGAAGACGAACTCAATTGAGATTACAGGAATTTAGCACTGCGTGTATGTTTAAGTCCTCTGTGTCTGTGTGTGTACGTATCTGTGTGTCTCTGTGTCTGTGTGTGTACGTATCTGTGTGTCTCTGTGTGTGTGTGTGTGTGTGTGTGTTTACTGAGTGTGTGTCTGTGTCTGTGTGTCTGTGTGTCTGTGTGTGTCTGTGTGTCCGTGTGTCTGCGTGCCACACACCGGTCTGCCGCCGACGCGGCACACTTCTGTGTCTGTGTCTGTTTGTCTATGTGTGTGTCTGTGCGTCTGTGTACGTACACGTCTGTGTTTGTCTGGCCGTATGTGTCGGTGTCTGCATCTGTGCCTCTTGTGTACCTGTGTGCTTGGTATCCGCTAAATACGACTGCACAAACGAGGGGTGACCGTCACAGTGACAGACTACTGTGTCGTACTCCCACGGACTTCATCAGGAGGTTGTGTCAGCAGTATGCCTGTGTGCGTTTGCGTGCTCGACTGTCCCCGAGGGGTGGGGAGAGAGAGAGAGAGAGAGAGAGAGAGAGAGAGAGAGAAGATGGTTGACAAAAGAGACTTACTAAGCTGAAGCATTGACGAAGGCTCGCTTCGCTCTTGGGCTTCAGCTCAACATACCCGAAGCCTCTGCACAGAGCTGTCTCGACCCTGGAAGCCGCTTGGCCATCTGCAGCAGGGGAGGACGATCCGGCGGCGATGGCTGCTGAAGGCTCTTGACGGCCATGGATGCCGGCTGCTGTTGACGCGCATGGACGAATTAGCGAGGCAGTTTGAGTGGATGGAGATGCCGAGAACACCAGAGAAGACAAAGGGATAGGGTAAGTTCTCTTCTCGGGAATGACGACAGCGTCCGTGATCACACCGAACGAAGAAAACCGTTCCCTCAACTCTTCCGGTCGGATATCCTTAGGCAGACCGCCTACAAAAAGCCTAAGCTTCCCGCCATCGCTGTCGCTCAGAAATCCCCCGCCATTGCTGCAGCCATCACCATCCTTCTTGTTCCTCCCCCCACCGCCTCCCTCCCGGTGGGACCTCGTCTCGGACCCCGGCCCCATTCTCTCCCCTCTTCTCCGCTGCCCCAGACCTTTCTCTCCCGCCTCACAGCCTACTAACACCAGTGACGTTCCATCGCCGCCCAATTTCCACGTGGATGGGCTGGTCGCCCCACGCACCCCCCGCCATGGCTGCCTCTACCCTTTGCGCTTTTCCCTCCTCGGACAGCCTCCATTCCCGCGCCCCACTCCCGCCCCCCCCTTCCCTACCTGCCCTTCGCGAACGGGGCCGAGCCGCTACGAGGCAGGAAGCAAAAAAGACAAACCAAACCTAACGTACCCCCAACCCCTACCGCTACCATCCTCTCCGCCCGTACTCCCCGCGCATTTTCCCTGAGCTAAATTTTCCTAGCCTACGCTGCATCGCTAATGGCTACTTTATACCAGACCAGATAATGACTCACATGCTTGGCGCTAAGCCTCCGAGCCTCTCTTTGCCGAGGCGGGCTCCCTCCTTGGCGCGCCGCGCTTTTTCTTTGCTCTTAGCTGGCGCCGCCCCGAGCCTCCGAATTTTTTTTTTTCTTATTTCAAATGGCTCCAAAAAAACATTTTCTTGTCCCAATTTCACCTCACACTACCTACCTACCAGTACTCCATTTATGCGTGTCATCCTTGCGCAGGGGCCATGCAATCTTCTCTGTATCGTTCCAATTTTAACGGATGTCCCGAAGGACAGTACCTACCAGTACTCCTAATTGTAGGCATACGGGGAACCCCGTAGCAGCCAGAACCGTGTTCACGAGAGAACATGCGGTGGGCGATACCCCCTAGGGGACAGCCGGCAGCATCAGGGACCATGCCAACAGGACCAATCCCTGTGCCTCCCCTCAGGTGGTGGGCTCCCCTACGAACATCAGCAGACTCTGCTCAATGCCGATCGGGGGTCTATCTCTAGGCGGCGGGCGCCAAGCATGCCCAGGAAGGTACATGAGGCCAATGGGGATTGAGCCCACGATCTCGTGAATGCCCCTTGCGAGCCTTACCAACTGAGTTAGGCCCCTGGATCAATGGCTCGATTTTTTTATTTATTTTTTTGGACCATTTCTCGATTTATGCGTGTCATCCTTGCGCAGTATCGTTCCAATTTAACGGATGTCCCGAAACACAAATGCTCGCTTTTCATTCGGCCTCAGCGTTATTTCGCCTGAGCTCAGTTCGTTGGCGCACACATCCACTGTTGAAAGCCAGTGCTGTGTCCGAATCCAGATGAACTGCTTCCCCTGGGCGCAATGTTGAGCCTGGATAGAAGTTTGATCAGGAACAAGTCGCACGTACTGTTGAAATTCGGGCCTGAGTGCGAATCAGCACCCCTGGCCGAAATTTTGAGCGCGGAGAGAAGGTTGATCATTCATGGCGGAATTTCGTGCCGACCTGTCCCTGAGCACCGACAGAACCCGAAAGGCCCGTTGACTGCCGTTACGCCTAATCGCGACAGTCGGGCAGCGGTAACCACAGGCCTGGCTCCTGCCAGCTGGTAATGCCAAAAAAAGGTAAAAGAACAGAGGACGCCCACGTAAACCTGCAGAGCACAAAACGCCAGTCCCGCTGCCAGGTGCGCAGCGAACTGTGACCAGCTTGCGACGTGCTGTGTGTGCCCTGTTTTTCTCATGTCTCTTCTCTCAAATTTTTTATTTTATTTTTTTCCTTTGAAAAAAAAAAACTAAGCTATATTCTTCTCTCAATTTCACCTTTTACTAAGCCTATACAGGGGATCCCTCCAAGCATAGCTACCTCCCACAATTCTGCTCCTACTTGATGAGGGGTAGGGGGAGGAGGGGGAAAAGAAAAAGACGAGGCGTAGGGGATGATGAAAAGGGAGGTGCAGCGTATGAGCTCAGTGGGTAGAACACCGGTTGGAAATGCACATTGTGGCTTGAGGTTGTGGATTCAAAACCCTATGGAATCGTGCATTTTCACCAGTGAGCATTCACTGATTGTGCACACCAATCCCCTGGGCTGGTGCACGGTAAGAATTACATCCACTACCTGCACCACCCAGGGATTTAGTTCACGATTGTTGTACGTCGGGGCTTGATTATGGGTGGGTTGCCTAAGGACAATGGCTAAAGGTTGTTCTGATGATCTCCCCAGCCTGGAATATCACACATTGGTAACGTTTGAGATTATAGCGCACATCGTTGAGCAATGCTTACGGAAACATATGTATAGCCTATGGGCACGTACACAGCTAGCGGGTACACACCGCCTTCAGGCACACATATGGGATCACAAATTGGTAACATTTGAGATTATAGCGCACATGGTTGAGCAATGCTTACGGAAACATACATATAGCCTACGGGCACGTACACAGCTAGCGGGTACACACAGCCTTCAGGCACACATACGGGTACATACACAGCCTTCGGGCACAAGTATGGGCACATACACAGCCTACAGGCACACACACACAATGTACACACAGACCAATGCCACGCTAGGGAGGGTCCGGGGCGTCTACTACATGCTTCAGTAGGAACTGGTAGGTTGGATAGGGCACCAGAGCTGGGTAGTGATATAAGTTGCTCTGTCCGCCTAGCCTTGGGTAAGCTAGCACAGCCCGGACTTGTCCATGGGTGCTAGCCTGCCTAGACTTGGTGCTTACACCTGCTATTCAGTCCAAGTCACCCTCCAAGATGGGTAGAACCTCTCCGTGTAGGGGCTGGTAGTAGAATGTTTGAGCCTGGTGTCCGACGTTCCCACACGACAAGGCTCGTTTGATTCCGCTTCAACCAGGACTGGGTAGGGATACAAGTCGCTCTGGTTGGGAGGATAGTGGGGATAGGGTATGCACTAGGAGCATTGATGAGAGGATGGGTTGGGAGGTAGCCTCACAAAGGTAGTAATTGTCAGGATAACCAATGACTGATTGATACTGCAACAGGGGCGTAAAAAAAAAAAAAAAAAAAAAAAAAAAAAAAAAAAAAAAAAAAAAAAGAAAAGAAACTCGAGAGCACTATAAAACCCTATTCGGAGTAGCTTTCGGAGTTCGCCGAATCTTTCTTCGAGTCCGGTGTTTTTGCTAAGTTTTTCGTTACTGGTCCAAATGCGGCAAAATTGAACACAAGTATACCTTAAAGCCTGTCTCTTATACACATCTANAAAAAAAAAAAAAAAAAAAAAAAAAAAAAAAGTATTTGCATCAGACCCCCACTAGCGGCCCAAACCCTGCACCCACTAGGGTAAAGGGATGACAACATGCAATATCTGCTTCGCCATTAGAGTTAGCTATGTTTGCAAGGTTCAATGGACTCGTGTGCGGGGGGGTGGCCGACGGCAGTGGATGGCTGCTGCATAAACCTCTATGGTTCAATCGGCCCATCGCTCAATGATGCATTATCGTAACGCGTTCTACCAAGAAAGAAGGTAGCCCCTTGTTACCGTGTCGGCGCAGGTAACTCTGCGTCAGGGTAGTAAATTTGCTTATTTCTCACTCTGTCTATGACCACAATGCAAAGGCGTACTTCAACTTGATAGTAAATGAAGCTCCTATGTAGAGGCGTTGTTGAGCCCATTGGTCTCGCATGGAGGCCCTCTTGGCCACGTCACGCAAAATTCTGACATTTGTTGACACAAAGCATTTTAGGAGTAGTACCCCTCTGACCGCGTGCGCCAGCTATACCTCTCATGAGTTTCTATGACAGGATAGGACCTTATGAGGCATCATCATAACTTACCTTCACGTGCGGGAGTTGTCACCATTCCTGGGTAGGTGTATCCCCGTCGAGCTATTGGCCCACATACCGGAGTTTTTATGTGTCATCGTAGAGTTGGATCAGCCGAGGGCATTTCTCGTTTGCTGTAGTATAGGGGTTATGCGCAGCTAATGCCCGAATCGAATCCGTGCGCGAATCGACGTTTGAGACGTTGATTTTCGAAGCGCGACCGTACGTCGGTCGACTAGGATGATAAGTCTAACCACACGATACTCATTCTAAAACCTTTTGCTTTTGGGTACAATTCGCTCCTAGTCTTTTTTTTCATTCGTCCCATAACTATTTCAATATTGAATAGTAGTCAAATGTCGCTAGCGAGACTTACCATAAGTAGCGCAAACACGCTGACGTTGTCATTATCATTAATCATATACGAAAACATGAACTCACAGAATGACGACGTACTATGTGGTGTCGATGATCACACGGCCCTCAATCGTGTTTGGGATCGCATTGGACACTCAAGTATCAGTTGACGTGTGCGCAAAGAGGTTAATCTTTTAGAGTCGAATAATGGCGGATGCAGTTATGCACCCTACCCTTTTTCTGCACCTTATTGTAGAGATTAGGCAAGGTGACTTCAACGACAATAGATTTCGGGCACTGGCATCAACCCCTCGATTATCTTATCGAGTGCATGCAGATCGTCAAGGGTTATGGGTCTACTCTCAACGGATGTTTGCGCTTGACTGAGGTAGTTGCGTTGTCGAACATATTTGTCCCGCACGGGGACCCTCCCGACTGCGTCACATGAGATTTGGGCAGTTGGGACGCAAAGTGTTTAAGAAGCGGTGCCTTTCCAGCCGAGTGCATAAATTATACCTCCCGTGAACACAAACAACAAGAGTGTGTCACACGAGGTACAACTTACCTTCAATTGTATGAGTTGTCACCATCCCTTAGGTGGGTGTATCCCCGTCGACCTACTGAACCACGTACAAATTTAAGGTTTTTCATATGCAATCACAGAGGTGGTTCAGTCGAGGGTGTTTCTTGTTGGTTGTAGCATTGGGGGTACGTGTGGCTAATGCCTAAATCGAACTCGTGCACGAATCGCGAGCCTGAGGATTGATCTCCCAAGAGCGATTCTACGCGGGTCGACTAGGATGACTAGTCTAACCACATGATACACTTCTCAATGAAAACTTAAGTCTATGTACAAATCGTGCCTAGTTTTGTTTTCGGCTCAAACCATAACTGTTTCGGTGAATGAACATGTCGACGCCACGCGAGGAACTTTGTGTAAATAACGCCGTGGCGCGAGCCTCATCATATCGGCTGACCGTGCATGAAAACATGAGCAGTCCCAATGATGAAGTAAGCGCATTGGGGGGGGCAATCCCTTAGCAAACACAAAACCAAACTGGGCAGCCCGCCATCTTCTGCACCTTGTTGTACCCCAAGCGGGACACAACAAGATGACATTGAGGGAATGAGAGAATTTGCAGTGGTGGTGAGTTGGTTGGCGCACCAGCAGCA